GTATTAGTTACCCAATATTCAATGATCGTTATCGCCATTCGCCACATAGTGTATTAGATTACAGCCCTAACTAAAACACACCTAATCCTACCTCGTCCTCTGTCTCTGTACAACCCATATTATGAAGGGAGAACACAGCACATAAAACAACTAAAGTCATCAACAACATCTTACCTTCTTTAATTGCAAGTGTTTGATCGATGCTAAGAGTGGATTGTTATATCAGGAATCTGGGACTTTAACCTGAAATGGACAAAAAGTATTTGACATAACTGGTCAACCCAGACAGCAGAGAAAAGTATTTCAGACTATTGGGCAAACAGTGAAACTGTGCTCACTCAACACAGTAGACACGGTAAAAATCCTGGCATGGACCATTCTAGCAGTTATCTTAGGCTACAAAACAAAACTGTTTCAAGCAACCTTTCACAGGACAACTGGGAAGGTGTTTCCTACTCTAATATTCCATGTATAGGCCCCTAAAATCCAGCAAGTTTATCTGTCCATAATCATAAAAAAATTCAAATATCAGCTAGGCCATTTTGGCAGAAAGCTATTGTAACACTCTGATTATTGTAACTCTGCATTACACCAACAGAGTTCTGATAATCTCAGCACCAAGCTTAATTTGCGAACGTGAACCCTGGACAAACAGCCCTACCTAGCTACCTTGGAACTGGGTTCCATTACCAGAAACAGACATTTGTAATAAGGCATCACCTAGTTTTCTTTGTGTTGAGGTTATACTCCATGAACTTGTATTTACTGTGCATCTCATCAAGTCGTTTGAGCACCACCTCTGCAGACTCATTGTTGTCAGCTAAGCTTCATGAGGCGCCTCCATCTCTTCCTGCACAACACATAGCAACAGTAGAAGCAAGCATAACACTGGTGGCTTTATGCAACTGCCCTCTTGGTATATTTGTATTCCTTAGGAACCAATTTGTTTCCTGCATGCAAAAAACATGAAAATCAAAACAGGAGCCAACATGATTTTTCTAACAGGTAGAAAAACTGACATTTCAAATTACACATTCCAGGCTGAGACAAGTGGTAGTAATGACAGATACCAATTGTAAAAGCTTGTATAAGTTGGAACTATTCAGAACTATTGTTTGAATCATTAGGAGCACCTTTAGAATACAGCACCACAACTCTGCCGTAGGTCACGTGTCATTAAGACAAGCAACCAGTTTGTGAGAACCTGTCGGACCCAGCGAACCCACGACCTTCGGATTGTTAGCTCGACAGCTAACCGACTGAGCTACGTCCACACTGTTTCACAATGTGCAATTTATCAAGTCATTCCTGTGACGTCACGGAAATGAACGGAAAGAGTCGAATAGGTCACGGACAATTCACGAATGCTACAGGTAGACTTGGTGTCTCGTTGATTTTATTCTACGGACAATTGCCGAATGGATCCGATGCCATTTGGCACACTCGTCCCATTCCGTAATCTACAAATTAACGTGTGGCGTGGAATGAGCCGATATGCCTCAAACTGAAAAGGGTTGTTGACGTCAAACGTAGATTTCACGGTGCATGCATGAATGACATCGCTTTTATATGAATCGGTGATTTTGTGACAGAAAAGTGATATAGGGAACACTGTAAGGATAACGTGGATCGCACTAAGGAACGAGGGAGACATGAGCATGTAGTAGGACGGCACGAGGGTGAGTTAGCCTTCGAATCATTACTTTACAAAATTTCTGTTGCTAGTGTGTGAAAGAGGGCTTGAGTGCAAATTCAGGCCAAATTCCATTAGCCCAAAATTTCTACATTAACCCATTTCATAATGTACTTTCGACGTTTTTGGTTTCCCGTTTTTGTGTGAAAAAAAAAGTATTAAAATGCAAAAAGGAAAAACAACAAATGGTACTCACGTATTACACCGGACATGTACCAACTATATTGGATTAGGTCCCTAACCCTAACCCCTTGAAATAATCCTAATAAATAGAATGCATTGACCGAACCACCGGACATGTACCTACTATACTGCATGAGGTCCCCAACCCCAACCCCAACCCTAGTCCTAGCCCTAGCCCTAACCCTAATCCCTTGAATTAATCCTAATAAATAGAATGCATTGACCGAACCGGCACAAACACGACTGACGTGTCTAGTGTAATGCATTATTACCGCTTCAAAAAATAAAATACTAATAAAACACTTTTCTATGTAATGGTGCAAATTACTGAATCACAAAAATATATATGTAAATTTAAAAATTACAAAATACACAAAACACATAACACCTCAGCAGCCCGTAAATACAAATAAATATGAGCCGCATTAGTGAAAAGAAAAATATTTCAAACTGGTGCTTGCAAAATATTAAGCATCCACCGGTATACAACTACTGGAAACTCTCAACATCGCTATCTTATGCAATGACATAGCTCGTCAGAGATGAAACACCAGTGAGCGGAGCTTTAAACGACTGGCTGAGCCAGACAACCGTGGTTGCCATGCAGGCGCCATAGGGCATTGTTTCGAGAACGCGGCTTCCGAACAAAATCACATTACATTACGTAAAAGAGTATTATGGACGATTTTTAAAGTTTATGGTGCTGTATTCTAAAGGTAGCCCACATTCCAGGCTGAGACAAGTGGTAGTAATGACAGATACCAATTGTAAAAGCTTGTATAAGTTGGAACTATTCAGAAAAGTTACTGGAAGCTTCATATAAGGTTCAGTTTACAAGTTCAGAATCAGGCCCATCGCCTATATGCATGATGCTGTAGACACAAAGTTCTCTGATCTGTGCAATTGAGACACGATGACATGCATGAACCAAGTCAGAAAATCTGACCACCAATACCATTAGTTGCCTCTTACAAATAGGCATGGGTTGTTAAAGACCAATTCTAAACCAAATCTTCATGGGACTTTTGTAAATACTTGCTAATGTTGAAAATCAATTCCATATTTGGACATAAAGCTTCATATTGTTGTCTCTCATCACCGGATTATGTTATGCCAAATATAAGCATGATAATGGAATAATTAAAATTGGCTCTTTGTTCAGCAATCTCACTTTACTTCTTGAGTACAATGACAACAAAATGGGTACAGGTTTATTTCAGAAACATGACGCTGTTAACAAACTTTTTAAGAGTACATTGTATTAGAAATGACTTGAAACTAGACTCTGGAGCCATAAAACCATTTAACGCAACATTTTTGAGGAGTTCTATTTTCTTGGTTTCAGTTCAGTAACCTGTAAACTGACGTCTCCATGACAGCGTACTTCAGTTTGATGATGCGAACACATTTCAGATAAACTGGCTCAGAAAAAGAAGATCGGATACAGTATGTCGGTTCCTGTACGTTGAGAAAGGCTATGGTTGTCGGGGTGTTTCGATATAAATAGATCAGAAGCAACCTGAAGACTGACAGCGAACATGCACGCACGTGTTGGGTACACACCTACAAATGCCCCTGAAATGTCGAAAACATTGTTATCTACCAACACATATTATGCCTTTTAAGTCTTGAAATATCGGCATTTACGTTTGTTGACATTTAAATGAAACTTTACCACAAATTCAGTCTGAGGAATGCCTGATTGAGATGGCTCTTCGTTTGATGTATCTGTCGCCATGTTTCTTCCTGTACCGGTGTACTTCCTCTAAATGTTGCCTGTTAAAAATGATCGTTCGTCTGTCTGAGTTATCGCCCTTTCCACTGGAGGCTTTCATTCACGTTTCGGGGAAATATATCATTTTCCCTTTCAGCAATACCACCTCAATTTCATCTCAAAATAATATTTTTTAAATGAAAGTATCACCCCCTCTACCTATTTTGGGACATAAAACGTAACAAGACTCACTGACTGGTAATTTATGCCAACGCATATGTCATGAATATTCCACGTTGTTTGTTTTGCAAAAGGTATGAGAACTACTCTCCCGCCTGATTGTCCAAGTTGGGCGAAGATGTTCTGTATGAGACATTTTCTCTGTGTGATAAGTCACCTAGGGTACTCGTTAACAGCTAGCTAGCCTTTTTTCTTCTACATGTAATCATTTGGAGATAGGCATGTTACGACGAAATGACCTGAGTCTCTGTGGGAACAAAGTGCTGACTGACTCAGGTATTGCTTATATCAATAACAATTACTAAGCGCTTCCTGGTTTTAGAAGAATATAAAACAAAATAACTATGCTCGTTGAAAACAAAATAGTGGAACGTCTGTTAAGTGAAAGTTATGTACAAGGGTGTATTTCCTGAAAACAAACCACGCTAAACAATATTTTTGTGACAGCTTGTAAGAGATGTGATGTGGGATGTTACAGTTTATCTATTTTATACGAAACCATGTTTTAAAGTTATGAATAAAGAAAACAGCAACAAAGAAAAGACAACCACACTCCCGAAAAATAATAAAATGTACACAAATGTATAAAACGAAACAAGAAGTCCATCCCATCACACATTTCCCACAAACCAAAAAGAAACACAACATAAAACAAAATGAATAAAAAGAAAATTTTACTTTATACAGTGTATGAAATAAGGTGCCTGTCCGACCGCCCGAGACGGGCTAGATTTCTGATGGACGGTCTAAAGTTACAGCTAGACAGCCCGATTGTCTGGTAAAATCTGAGTAAATTCACCATATCTTGGTGTCTGGTATGGTTAAATCCATTTTGTGCTGGTAACATTTAGAAGTTACCAGCCTTGATGTCTGGCTTGGTTTTGGCTTATTTCATACGCTGCTTTATAGGTTAACAGATATCTGGTTGTTGCATATCAGAAATCCCTCGCTACTATAACCATTCATGTGTACTGGCAAAATGGAAGTAGCTGCAATAATCTTTTACCATTTTAAATTATGAGTTTTCAGTAAAAAGCACTTAATTTATCGATTGGTTATATTAGTTTGATTCATATTTTCGTGAGGTGGCAAAACGTCAGATGAAAATGGCAGGTGGTGCGGATTAAATTTCATGGCAAGGAAATGTGACTGCACCGGCTAAAATCGCATATTCTCGCGAGAACATAAAGAAATCATGGCGATGTTAGGAGTGAGTTAACTTACTGATCAATGACATTGTAACTGTGTCGTGACTCTGTTATACCATTGTTTATCGAACTCCGTTAATTATCTTATTCTTACTCATCAATGCTTTTATTCTGGATCTTATTTTATCGAAATATGAAGCTGTGTATTTTCTAAACGTGACCATGCCGATTCAGTAAATTTGATGTTTTGACTGATTGTGAAATATAGGATGTGAATATATTGTCTTGTTATAGCTATGACAGCCACCACATGTCAGAATAATTAATGTCAGCCGTTCTATTATTTGCATGATAATCCACAATTATAATATTTTGATCAAGAGGACCAGAATGATTAGATCTATGATTGTCTAAAATATGGCTTAGTCATTGACAAATATGATTGTTTTGTATTTGCTCAGTAATCATGTACCTATGTATTTGGAAAATTATATGAACAATCATTATGTTATTGTACAAAACTTATTACCAAATATTGTTGTTACTTAAAACAATCGGGTTATCGAAAAACTGTTTTAGTGATGACATGAACTTGGGCTTCAAGCTTTGTAGCGATTTAATGGCATGTATGTTTTTGGGTAAGGTTATCAACCAGTAACCTTGGTCATCACTTGTGTATAGATATAGATGTTCATGTTCTTACTTATTTTGTAATTAGTACTTAATCCTAACCTGATACCCCGCTTGATTATAAGGTGCTTCGTAATCCTTCCCTACGATTCTTACATGATACTGTTTACCATGATATTGTTTCTGTTTTGTTTAGTCCTTTCTATTGTTCTGGTATTCTATGATTTATGATTTGAATTTACTCCCTGTTTGCTCAGACAGGAGGTGTGACTGTTATGTATACTGCTGTGTGTACTAGACTGAACTCTTCTTCTTTTCTGTACATTTTAGGCTCAGTCTGTGAATGTAGCATCTGTCTGATCTTGTGTGACTATTGTTTGTTCTTTTCAGTGTACCAGACTGAAAGCTTGACATTATTTTCCAGCCAGGGTTTGATTGTCAAACATGGGAACAATCTATGAAGCCCATTTCTGGTGTCCCCTGCTGTGATATTACTTCAATATTGCTCCAAGCAGCATAAACCTAAACTCATTCATCACACAACTGAAAACAAATTGGAAGCAGATTTGGGCTTTAAGGAGAAGCTAAAATAGCTGATTGTACTAGTTGTAGCCGTGTACCTTGTGCATGTGATACACATATCTGTGTACTTCCACATGACATTGACCCCTGTGAAGATCTGTGATAGAATTGATCTCCAGCAACCCATCCTTGTTGTAAGAGCTGATTCATATGATTGGGTCATTCTATAGCAGTTGCAGGGGCGCTGGGGTAGCCTAGTGGTCAAAGCGTTCGCTCGTCACGCTGAACATCTGGGTTCGATTCCCTACATCGGTACAATGTGTTAGGCCCATTTCTGGTGCCCCCCACCGTGATATTACTGGAATATTGCTAAAAAGCGGTGTAAAATCATACTCACTCACTATAGCAGTTGCATAGATGATGTTCAGTGACTCGGGTACAGGACTGTCTCGACCATACTCTGTAATATTCAGGCCACCATCTGGAATATGTTTTAGTTCAGTATTTAACAACAAACAAATGAAACTTGATGTAGGTTAATGTTCATCATTGTTAGCATGATTGGTGATTGCTATCTGAGGTATATAAATTATAATCTCTGTACAGACTAGTGCAGGCTAGTGTAGGACATTAAGCAAAGGGCCAGGAGAATGTGAAATCCTTCTGGAATTGGATTTTATTTGTAAGGTCATTATTTCCCACCAGGACAATTTAGAGTTGCATTCAGTCTGCACTTAATGCTACAGTATTAACAAGTATAGCAAAGCATTAAAGCCCTGATCTCTTTGTTGATCCTGTTAACATGGTTCTAAGTGAAACACAAATTAGCCTTGATAAGTACAAACTGTAATTATTTTGACTGGAATATTTACTGTAGATATGGACTTAGGTCTTGACCTCAGAACACCAAGATTAATCCTAACTTTGTTTCAAGGTGTCATATGTTAAGGGTTTGTGTCATTGCATTATGGATGTTATTATTATTATTGATATTTATGTAGCGCATATCCACGCGACTAGTGCATGCTCAAGGCGCTGGTATTTTCATCCCTTGATCATTGGATGTGAATCTCAACGGCACATCTTATTATCAATCTCAACTCCCTGGGATCATACAATTTTGCTGCCACAAGGTGCACCAAGTTATTAAGGCCTTCCCATCCTTACGAGGTACCCATTCACAGCTGGGTGGACTTGGACACATAGTCATAGTATTTTGTCCAAGTTTACTGCACGCTGCTGTACCCACAACTAGGTGTTTATGCTGTATTCATGTGGCCACCATCTGGTCATATACTGTACACTAGGGGTTGTGACAACACTGAAAGAGTCTGCACACAAAGTTGACTCCAAGGTTTTACACCCAGTCACAGGTGGGCTTCATCCCGCACCTCATGCCTGCTGGGTCTGGTGCCTTAGCTAGCTTCGCCACCACGCCCACCATGGATGTGGACTATGTCACCCTTTATAATAAATATGTTCAGGACACCAGCCTATGAAGCAATTGTAGTGGTACAACTGTCATAAGTGTCTGTTATCGTTAAAGTGTGGGAGTTATGATTGTCTTAGTGCTACAATCACTTTGGGGGATGGGACCCAGGACTATCATGGGTAACAACAACTGACATGCAGTGAAACCCTGTAAATCCAGACAGTAGTGTGCACATTGGTTTGATACAGTTTAGCACATGTCTATGTTAAGGATTGCAATGTCATTAATAGGAGTAACCATTTCCAGCTATGGCTGCCAGGTGAATGGGCCATTGTTGACAAGTTTTCTACAGATATCTCAGGTGCATTGCGCTTTACAAAAATGTCAACATATGACGGCAGAATGGTACACTGATGTCCCCACATGTTGGCTTGAAATTTGTTAAAAGTAATCCACGACTGACTGACTGACTGACTGACTCACTCACTCACCACCATTACAATGGAAATAAGAATACTGAACAATAGAAATAACTACGCAGAGATGAAACCACGTTTCCCTGTAGAATCTGAGGAAAGGATTATGACACACGGATAATGATGCACCTTATGCTCAGCTGGGTATGACTTTCTGAAGCTGCATTAAACTCGACTCATTCGCTTCACTTGTTTGTTTTACTCATTTATTTCACTGGTTCCTGTGCCCACTCGCTGATGATAGAGTTTTCGCTTTCAGCAACAAGGGCAGTGTAAGTTTGAGGACAAATGGCCAAGTATGCGGCCGACCGTCCTCAAGCTGCTTCGACAAGAGGCCGTCACACGTGATGAGTGGCATGGACTCTTCTGGTAAGTCACATGCTTCCTGTTTCCCAGCATTCCTCAACATTGGCGGAGTGGACAGCAGTCATTTTCAGTAACTTGATAGTTAAAATAGAATATAATATTGTAGATGTGATGTTAAAGTCACCCTCTCTCCGCCATAAATGTATTTCCAGGACAGAATACACCCCAATTCTATGAGTTTAGAGTCAACCAGCCCAGGGACACACATTCCAAGAGCAGATTATGAAAAATATTATTATTTTGTACAAAATTTGCATTTCCATTTAACATCTTTATTGGTACAATGTGTTAAGGCCATTGCTGGTGTCCCTGCCATGATATTGCTGGAATAATGCTAAACGCTGGCATAAAAGCTAAACTCACTCACTTACTCAACATCATTAAAATATGATCAGAGATATTCTAAGATTGAATTTTAAAATTTCATTCAAAACAGCAACGTTGAGCTTATTCTTTATTGGTCCTGTTATCAGTGAAATGCAAGTCACTTCCAGGAGAAGACAACTGTAACACATGTTATAGTTGGAGTTACACTTTTCAGTAAAGTACAGATTCTAGTACTTTTGTTAGGTTGAGTCCCACAGAGTCAGACACCTAATCACCAGCACTCTGGGGTCAGCCATCTAGCCCACTCAGGTTTCCATTTCTTAGTGTTGGAGGCACATTATCATATTCCCCGTGACGTGCTAATTCTTACCAAAATATTGCTGAATGTCCTAAGCCTGACAGTTGATAGACCCAGGTAGCTTTTGTGTGTAAGACTACAGGGTAGACACTGTAGTATACTCTTCTGTTTGTTCAGGGCCGTACATTCTGTATGTATGTGGGATGAGAAAGACGGACCACCAAAATCTACCAAGCACTACAGGATGACATTCTGGACTTCATCAAACAGGCACAAACAGTAAGTACCTCTGACCTCTGGAAAACTGCTGAGTCTAACAAATACTTCAGACCTCAACATCCTATTGACAGTGTGTGTGCTGTAGTTATGAACCCGCATCCTAGAATTCTCTCATTCATCTATTCTTCTTGTTTGCAGCGTGTGCTTCAACACAAGGAAGATTCAGCCTTGTTGCGAGCATATACATCGCGGAGTGGGGCAAGTTCTTCACTCAATGTAACTACCTGCCCAAGCCATTCAACCAGCTAGAGGCCAACCTACTAGGGAAATTACACAGCAGCATGCCCAAGAAGGCACAAGGAGGCGAGGAGAGCCTTGTTAGGAAGGTAGGTCGTTCTGGAAAACCACTTAGTCTAGCAATGAAGGCAGGTCCTTCTGGGGAACCACTGAATCTAGCAATGGAGGCAGGCCCTTCTGGGGAACCACTAAGTCTAGCAATGGAGGCAGGCCCTTCTGGGGAACCACTTAGTCTAGCAATGAAGGCAGGTCCTTCTGGGGAACCCCTGAGTCTAGCAATGAAGGCAGGCCCTTCTGGGGAACCACTAAGTCTAGCAATGGAGGCAGGCCCTTCTGGGGAACCACTTAGTCTAGCAATGAAGGAAGGTCCTTCTGGGGAACCCCTGAGTCCAATGAAGGCAGGCCCCTTCTGGGGAACCACTAGCAGCAATGAAGGCAGGCCCTTCTGGGGAACCACTGAAGTCTAGCAATGAAGGCAGGCCCTTCTGGGGAACCACTGAGTCTAGCAATGGAGGCAGGTCCTTCTGGGGAACCACTTAGTCTAGCAATGGAAGGCAGGTCCCAGGGGAACCCTTCTGGGGAACCACTGAGTCTAGCAATGGAGGCAGGTCCTTCAGGGGAACCACTGGAACTACAATGAAGAAGCCCTTCTGGGGAACCACTGAGTCTAGCAATGGAGGCAGGTCCTCTAGGGAACCACTGAGTGAAGCAATGAAGGCAGGCCCTTCTGGGGAACCACTGAGTCTAGCAATGGAGGCAGGTCCTTCTGGGGAACCACTGAGTCTAGCAATGACAGGTCCTTCTGGGGAACCACTGAGTCTAGGGAACAATGAAGGCAGGTCCTGGGAACCACTAAGTCTGAAGGCAGGTCCTTCTGGGGAACCACTGAGTCTAGCAATGAAGGCAATGGGGAGGCTAGGCCCTTCTGGGGAAGGCCACCACTGAGTCTAGCAATGGAGGCAGGTCCTTCTGGGAACCACTGAGTCTAGCAATGAAGGCAGGTCCTCCTGGCCACTGAGTCTAGCAGGGCAAGCCCTTCTTCTGGCAATGAAGGCAGGCCCTTCTGGGGAACCACTGAGTCTAGCAATGGAGGCAGGTCCTTCTGGGAACCACCTAGCAATGAAGGCAAGCCCTGGGGAACCACTGAGTCTAGCAATGTTCTGGGGAACCACTGAGTCTAGCAATGGCAGGCCCTCTGGGAACCACTGGGAGTTCTGGGTGAACCAACCATCAATGAAGGCAGGCCCTTCTGGGGAACCACTGCTCAAGTGGAGGCAGGCTCCTTCTGGGGAACCACTGAGTCTAGCAATGGAGACAGGTCCTTCTGGGGAACCACTAAGTCTATCAATGAAGGCAGGCCCTTCTGGGGAACCACTAAGTCTAGCAATGAAGGCAGGCCCTTCTGGGGAACCACTGAGTCTAGCAATGGAGGCAGGTCCTTCTGGGGAACCACTGAGTCTAGCAATGAAGGCAAGCCCTTCTGGGGAACCACTGAGTCTAGCAATGGAGGCAGGTCCTTCTGGGAAACCCCAGAGTCTAGTTATATATGCTGGTTATCCTGGGGAACTACATAGCAGCATGCCCCTCCAGGATCTCAGTGATTTTAATACCTGACCTTGGTCATGGGTCCTCTGACAATTCTTGGTCAAGACAGGTGTGTGACATGATGCATGTGTTTCAGCTGATGCTTGACAGCTGGAATCTGAGTATCTTCTCCAACATCAAGCAGCGCCTGCAGGACAGTGCCATGAAACTAGTTCATGCAGAGAGGAATGGAGAAGCCGCTCGACTCACAGCTTGTTATAGGTGTCCGAGAGTCATATGGTAAAGTGCTTTAGCTAGAATCGTGCGTGCCTTACAAAATGATAACACTGAAACACATTCAAGTCTAAATGATTATTAGTTAGCATTTCCATTTTAAAAACGTCCCTTACTGTATTCACAAATTGTATTTACAACTATCTATTTAACTGTGGTGTTGGATTTCCTGTGGTTGAATAGAGACTACTCTCGTATTTTCTGTTTTGGCCTCCAGGTGTAAGTTTTGTTCTGAGGAAAGCTGATATGAATATAACATACTTTACATAAAAGTGCCTATTTAATTTCTCTTTTTATGTGTTATTATTTTACAGTTAACCTAAGTTCTGATGTAGAAGACAAACTAAAGATTTATCGCGGAGAATTTTGAGAAGGCCTACCTTGAGGCTTACAGAAGCATTCTACAAGGTGAAGGCCCCCGGTACCTGGAGGACAATGGTGTACAGAACTACATGCGCACGCAGACTCCAAGCTGAAGGAGGAGGAGGCTAGGGCTCGCCCAGGTACCTCGAGGAGCGGGTATGGCTGTAACTCGGTCGCAGCTGTAAGTCGATACACTTTTATATGTTTACGTGGGGCTTTAGTTTTCACTTACCAATTAGCTTTGGTCATTTGAAAGAAAAGATATGATTAGCTTAAGCTCAGCTGACAGAAAATAATATCATGTCACTGTGTATTGTCAGTTGTCCATGTGCCTGTGTCTGTTTTGCTTTCACTATTTTGTCATCTAAGACTATAACCTAAGAAGCAAAAGTGAATGGTTTCCATCCACACACCAAAAAGGATTTTAGGGACCGCTCATAATTTATGGCTAGGGAGATGATGATGATTTTTATGAAGAAGCTTTGTACAATGTGATTTCTCTCCCCTCCCCCAGCAACATAAGAATGTCATCTTCAAAATCAATTCAGCAGCGTCCGTGACATCTTACATCTTACATACGTCCTGATTCTTGTTAACGCGATACCTCATGAACTGTTGTACCCAATGTCTTAAAATTTGGTGACAGCTTACATTGGGGGATTACACAGACACCAGGCCCCGACAAAACAAACTTAAGTCTGTGTTTTTACTCAAATTTGAGAAAACGCAGTAAAATGCATTTCCCAGAATAAACTGAAATCAATAATAAACTCAAACTTAGTAGACAATTTGAGTTTGGTGGATAGATTACTTAAGTTGTTTGGGCTTTTTTTATTTAAAAAATGCAGTTGAGTTAAAAATTCAGCTGTTTCAAATTGTCAAACTCAGTTTGAAATTTGAGTAAAAACTAAGTTTGTTTCTGAGAAATCGGGGCCAGTTGATTTGGGTGACCTTGACCTTATCTTCAAGGTGACTGTGACACTTTGACCGCTTTTCAAACTGATGTAAACACGATATCTCATAAAACATTGCACCCAATGTATTCCATTATGTCGACAGCCTGCAATGGGTGATTGTGAAGACTCCAGTCATTTCAGGCATCTCAGATGTGACCAAAAAATAACAAGTAGTCAATATCGCTTGAAATATTTCATTCTTCTTTAGCAGCGGGGACATTGCCACATTAGTGGCAAACACTTGTTCTCTATTACCATCTTTTGAACATTAGGAAAGTCCAAGTTCCAGAATCTGGTGTGCTAGATCTCCCAGGTCTCTAAACGCTACTTAAACATGTGTCAGGACAAGTTATCCTTACAAAATGGTTTCCATTCTAAGGTAGATGTTGGAGTTAGTCACCTAATCGTCTCTCATTTAGTGGTAGTGTTAGTAGTAGTTGTTATTGTAGTGGGATGATGATGATGGTGATGATGTTGATGATTAATTCCTTCAGCTGACAGAGTGTTGTGTGCGGGTGTTGGTGACCGACTTCAAGGAGGCGATTCTACAAGAATGTGCATTGATGATCAAGAACAATGAGACAGAGAGTAAGTTTCCAGCCTGGACTTTTTTCCTTATCCTGACTCATGCTCTTTTGCTTGTCTTCTTCTTCTTCTTCGAACATAGTGGAACACTTGTATCTCCTTATTTGAAGCTCCTTCAAAATAAAATCACTAATTGGTACTCACCACGAGTTGCTCCCCTTTGCTTCCCCTGGCGGAAAGGTGTAAATCACCCTCTGGCCATGTGCTTCACTCTCTCCTTCTTAAGCCCAGTGAGCAGGATGTGAGAGCCCTTGTGTCTCCTTACACACCATATCCTTTGATAATCTCTTAGTTTTACCTCTCATAGGTTACTATAGAGGTATAGCTAGTATCCTTTACTATTTGTATTGATTAATTATCATTATTTCTACTGTTTATTCCGTGTATTACGTGATTGTTCAGTTAACTTTACGTTGATGAAAATCTATGCGATTTGTAGATTACGTTTTCTGCCTCCGATCCACATGTAATATGCCCTAGTTGTTCTCGCCCGTGTGCGTTTAATTCCGTTGCAGTTACTGCATTAATTTATCTCATTCTGCATTTAATAAATATCACCTTTGCGTCTTAAGGCGTGCTGCAGATAGATCCATGCAAACAAAGGGCAAAACATGGCAGAGAGTCAGATATTCCATCCAGTCAGCTGCTAGCGTCGACCCTCTCCGTCTGGTGTTCTGCTAGAGACCCCTGCGGCAGAGGAGCGTGGGGCGCCAGATCCGTTACCTCGAAGAAGCGACCGGCCTCCCCAGACATCTCGTCATTGCAGACCAAGTCTAAGAGGGCCTCATCGTCGTCTCAAGCGCCAGATTGAGGACACCCAGGGCAGCGCCAGACTTCAAAGGAAATCTGAAGACAGCAAGAACTTTCTCAGCGAGATCGTTCCAGCAGCAGAATTGGGCCTCTACGATGATCAGCCGATAATCATCCCGACTTCGGCAGAAGAAGCGACCGGTGTCAGCGACTGTGACTTCTGCAGAGATCACCATGCAGCCTGATGCCTCTACACCGGCGTCAGGCGTCATTGATGTGAACCCCATCGCCAGAAAAGGCGCCCGGCGACTTCGTCTAGATCATCCCAGAAGACATGATCGCGGCAGATTATGAACATCATGGAGGACCACTACAAACTGCGCCAAGCGAAGTCCGAACCCAGCGAAGGCTCCAAGCGTGAACAGCACCCCAGAGGCACCCCGTCAGCGTAGCAGCCAAGGCGATGTCACCTTAGCGAAGGAAGTCCGCACCACCTTGGCGAAGGACCTAGATGTACAGCCTTCGCGAAGGCCTTGCCAGCGGCGGGAGAGATCATCACCATCTTCGATTTCATCTCTAGATATGGACTCAGACCATCAGACATCACGGAAGCCTTGCGAAGGTCATATCATCGATCCCCGGACCCGGGCGCAAATGAAGCTTAGCGAAGGCATTAGAAAGGACATATGATTCAGATCTTCATCATCTAGAAGAACATCGAGGGACTGCCGAAGAGCTTCGCGAAGCTATCAACATTCACCTCACAAGTCTCGAGAAGATCATCCCATAGGCGATCTCCGCCGTTCATCACCAGGTTCGATCACCCGTCAGATCTCCACATAGAAGCGGCGCACAAGTCAACTAGATGCGCCACAAACCTCATCAGATATACAGACAGCTACGCGGTCGAAGAGCATCTACAATTTGTTAATGATGATGGTTTTGAGGATGATGGAGGAATCATATTTTCTGATGCAGAATCACGGTATTGGATGGTCAATAACCTAGATCTCACATCACCATCTAAAAGTGGCAATACAAGCGCCAGGCGTATTTGATGAAGGAAGATGATCCAGATGCAATCACTCTACCCCGATCGACCCGATTGCGGCAGTGCCACAGAATCTAGATGCAGCTTTCCAGAAAGCTCACGAAAGTTCAGATACCACATCTGCCCAACTTTCAAGCCAAGAAGTTCTCCACGCATAACATGGACTCCTTCTACAAGGCCCAGGACATCGATGAGAACTATAAGATCATCAGCGATGTAAAGAACAAGATTTACAAGATGGATGATGTAGGTTGGCTCATATAGAAACCATGGCGAGGCGTATGTTCTTTGGGTTAAATAGATCTAGGGCGATCAATGAGACTCTTATTACTAGATTCGGGGATTCCACGGCGGAAGATGATAGAATGATTTATTCTGCCTTACTTATGCAAAGAAAGATCAGCAGTTTTAGCGGATCATCTTACATCTGTTTCAGCAGCACTGACCTTAGCTTCGTCGTCAAGGCCTCCTAAGCCTCCTGTAATTGGGGAGAACTTTACAGCCCACTTTATACAGCCCGTGGTGCGACAACATCCATCTTTGTGAGAAATCGACAAAGTTAAGCCAAAGGAAGTCTCTAAGGATTCCAGGGAAGTCCTTATGATTAGATCGATGGACACACTAGCCAGCGTCATTAGTCAGACTTCACAAAGATACTCAGGCAGATCTAAGTTCAGGCCTACAAAGAGCAAGAGACAGGAAGATAGCCAGCTCTAGAGGTAAAGATTCTTTTAAAGTAAGCCCATCACGGCAACTATAGAGGAGGATCAGGAAGAGGCAGGACACCCAGAGGTTCCCGCAATTATAGGCAGCTGAAACACAGGTTGAACGACTGGAGTCTTCCACCCCCAGCCGTTCCAGTACAGCCAGCTCAAGTGGGTGGGCGCCTCCAACTACACTGGGAAAACTGGGGAATATTGCAAGACCTTTCGTCTCCAACATTCTTCAACACGGATTTTACGTATCCCTCTACAGGCCAAGCCTCCGCTGACAATCAAACCCCCAAGTTCGATTTACAAAGCGCAACAACTACCAAAGATAAGAGGGCTGTTTCATCACTCCTATCCAAACAGGCCATAGAAGTAATAGATCAAGCAAGCGTCGAGACCAGGTTTCTACTCCCCAGTTTTCCTAGTTCCCAAGAAAAACTCCACGGGAGAAATACAGACTCATCTACAACATGAGCTTTTTCAACAAGAACTATCTCGCCAAACCACGAAGTTTAGCATGATACATTTACCTCAGTTACGCCAGATGATTCGTCCTATGGACTACATGGGCAGCATAGATCTACAGGATGCCTACCTGCATCCCCATTCATCCCGATTCCAGGAAATACCTACGATTTACTCTAGAAGGGCTACATTACCAGTGGAAAGTACTCCCATTGAATATCATCAGCCCCCTGGCTATTCCGCGAGGATAACGAAACCGATTATCAAATTTCTACATCGTCAAAGGGGCTACGCCAGTGCGTTTTACCTCGACGACGGGATACAAGTAGATCAAGATCCACTGCGTCTCAAACTACAGTTAAATTACATCATAAAGCTACTAACACAACTAGGTTGGTTAGTAAACTTACGCAAGTCGGACCTAGTACCATCGCCAAGACCTGCAGTTCCTAGGTATTCGATTCATCACAAATCGCAACCGTATTTTGGTACCAGAAGACCGTTGGCTCAAGATACAGCAGACCATTCCACCAGCTCTACTCTCTCCGTTACCACTGCGACAATGGCAGAGCCTACTAGGTCTTCTCACATCAGCCCAAGACATGACTGTCACAGGCAGATTACAGTTTCGTCCCCCTACAGGTCCTCATCAGCACATCTCAGCGATGTACAACCATTCAGTCTACGAAACATCTCAGACCGCATCTACTATGGTGGACCAAAGAAATCGAATGTCTGCGAAGGGATTTGTTTAGCAGAGCAGGAATACAAAACCCATCTGTATGTAGGCGCGTCACTCCAAGGTTGGGGCTCATCTCACCAACCACACGATATCAGGGTTATGGAATCAGCAAGAATGCAAACTCCATATAAACAGTCTAGAAATGAAAGCTGTAATCAGCGCCATTCTACATTGGAGCACATTTCTACAAAATGCAGCCTAATGATCCATACAGACAATTCGACAGTGGCGTTCTACATAAACAAGCAAGGCTCAGCGATCGATGAACCTTTTGAACCTAAGCTTTCAACTGTTCGATTTAATACAAGATCTAAATCTACATGTCAGAGCAGTGCACATTCCCCGAGACCAGAAATATACTAGCAGGCGGCTCTCTCTCGGCCTCATCTACCATCACCGACAGAGTGGATGATCAACAGGAAATTTTTGCACAGATAATCAAGCAATTAGGGCCGCTAATAGACCTATTAAGCCACGCGATTCAACAATCAGCTACCGACATTATTGTCACCAGTCCCAGACCCCAAGCTTGGGCAGCGGACGCTCTAAGTCTATCATGGGAAGGCCTCAATGCGTGCAGCGTTCACGCCGCCAAGCAATAATACCTCAAGTATTACAGAAAATCAGACAAACACAGAGCCTACAACTCACTTTGGTTACAGCCCTACTGGCGGCCAGAGCGTGGTTTCCCATACTAATTCAAGAAATCGGTCAACCAACACTGGAGCTACCCAAAGCGCAAACCTGTTAATTCATCCTCACCAAACAACAAGTGCACGGAAACCCAGCAATGTTCCAACTACTGCGTATGGACTGTATACAAATGTGTTTAAACAAGAGAGGATATTCTGCCAGGCGGCAAAAGCAGTCACGCTTTGCCTTTACGTTACTCAACTTCGTAGCAACCTTGTACGACGACAAGTGGCACAGTTTAGAAAATTATGCAACAAAGAAAGGGTTTACAGCAAGAGAGGCTTCCACAACCTCAAGTGGCAGACTATTTGTGTTACCTCGCTAAAACAATCAAAAGGTTCAACGATATCAACATATCTTGCAGCTACTTAGTTCTGTAATCACCATGAGAGCGGGTGTCAAATTGATGACAAGATCTCAGAGTTACTGGCCTTTACTACGAGCTTTCCGATTGGAGGACCAAAGCGGAAGTTCCACTTCCAACTTGGGATCTGAATGTAGTGTTACAACACCTCACGGTGAGGTCTATGAACCTTGGAATCGACAAACTTTGAATTTCTCTCACAGAAAACACTGTTTCTGCTATCGCTAGCCACAGCAGCAAGAATGTCTGAAATTCAGCTCTGGATTACGAGAGGATACAGTTTGATGACAATCATAACACAGCGCACCTCGGATTAAGATGGGATTTCATCGCCAAAAATCAACTGCCAGGGTCAACCAGACAGATTATTCCACATCCCGCTTGCTATCCTCTATTCTCGGATCAGAAGATACACAAGACCTATCACTGTGTCCGGTAAGAGCTCAAAAGTTTATTCGCGCGACGATCCAAAACAAGGAGAAGATTTCTCAAACGCTTATTCATCCCCTTATCGCCTCTTAATCAATCAAAACAGAAGTGTCACGGACCACAATATCTATTTGGATAAGGACTGTCATTCTCCGTGGCCTACAAGGCAGCAGGCTTGAACCCACCAACAGCATCAAATCCACATGAGATCAGGGCACTGGCCTCTACCCTCTTCCTGCACTTATTGCTTACGGCTCGAAAGCGTGGCTTGCCAGACGATGTCAAAAGGCGTAGAACTGCAATCACTTCCTGGTCTCGGCTGCTTACTGCGTCTGCGCATGCGTCACGGAAGGTGGCGTCAGCCACCTCAGATTATTGCTTTTACATGCGCGCCTCGTTAGGCGTGTTGTTTGCCAGCTCAACTTGTATCCTCACGGGATTATATTTTGTGAAGCATTAATAAAGACTGACTTTGTGTGTATTTTGTTTTGTACCTCTCACGAGAAGTGTAGGTATTATCTTTCACTTTCTTTTTGTCATTCAGTAGTTCTGTGTAGTGATGTCGTTCGTTTATACGGTCCGTCATCACACTTTCACTTCGCCATTAAAACACTTTGCCGTATTTGATACGTCGTTGTGTTTCATTTGGTTCAGGCTTATATACTATACCATATAATAGTGGTATATTTATTGTGCCTGTATTATGGTCTCTTAAACTTTCAGTTATTTTGAGACTTTTGTTCTCAACTTTGCTGTTATATTCATTACTTTGTATGTGCGTTTACTGGGTTTTCTGCTTCATTGCAGATCTATGTACAGCCAGTTGTATACATTGTCGAGGTGGGAAGTCTCGTAAAGACCCTCATCCCGATGTTTGAAATGTACTACTCAATGTACCTCTGGCCATAAATGTGCCAGCTGCGCTGTGCTATCACCCAAGAGTTTCTCCGTTTATCTACAGGTTGTTAAGAAGCCTGGGACAACAGAGGCGGAAGAGTATGTCTACTACTTCGACACCGGTCTTGGCGACCACCACTACGTCTCGTCAAGTGTTCGCGGCGTCAACTGTGTCAACGAATCGCCTGTCACCAGCATTCAGATTATGTCTTACGCCGCTTATGTCGCGGGTGTTACAGCGTTTGGCTTGCTTTGCAACGTCGCGGATCGGATCGGTACCTGGCGCGGCAGGCACTCCCTCACCTCCTCGCTGTTGCCGATGTCATCTCCACAGCGACCGATGGGCCAGCAGTTTGCGCCCGTATCAGACACCCCAGCCAGTGTTCCCGGGGCAGGCGCCTTATCGCGTATCAACCACATACGGGGTTTCCAATGCCTCAGGCGTCTATGATGCAAACGCCATCGGCCACCAGCAGTTTGATGTATCCACGCTCAGCACTCTCTTGACTTTACTATCAGGTCAAGCGGTACATCAGCGCCTATGCCGTTTATGCCACCAGCTACATCGGCCTCTCCCCTCACGGGCCTCCAGCGCTTGCCACCTTTGCCACCTCCGGCGATTTTGAGCCTCTGCCCCTCTCCAGCATCGGTGCCTATCTTGTCAACTTTGTCTGCTCCTGTGCCTCGCTTCGCGTCTCCCGTTCGCGTCCCACGTCTTCGACGAGGCGAACATAGGTCGAGACCTCGTAGTAAAGGCGTCTTCTGCTAAAGGCGTCGTCTGCACGTAGCCGTTCCCCTTTGCCGTTTAAGTTCACCGTCCTCTGAGAGGGACTTTGCCCCAGACTATGAGGAAGACCGCGGGCTCTAATCACCTTGGCTTTGATCACGTGTTTGACTGGATTGCTGATCGTTTAATAGCCTCAGTCCCTTCACCAGGCCCTGATGTTGCAAAGTCACTTACTATTTGGGACTCGCCTTCCTTAATGTTACCAGCACATGAGGCGGTCAGAGATTCTCTCTACCCTTGATGAAGATTTCGCGGGAATGTCTCTCAACCCAACTATTAAAGCGCCTAGAGTGCGTCGTTGATGACTATCCTATTCATGGCTTGGACTTTGCCCAGACAGTGACTAAGGTGGATGAGGAAATGAAGCGTGTGACAGGTTCTTCCTCTGTGTCCTCCTATAAAGTTCAGGATACAAGGGTCGCGGCTTTGGACTTAGAGCTTAAAGCGTATGCTCCGCCCTATATCGGCATTGGCGTCAGCGACTGATGCCATCACTCAGGATCTTAAGGAAATAAATCCGGATCGACTGGATCATCTTACAACTATGATGCTATGGCGGGGTAAAGTGATCACTGACCTGCGTGAACACCTTAGGTCGGCTTGCCAGCGGCGTGCGTAATTAAATTAAACAAGGCTTCCTCTCCTTTTCTTCATGGGATTGAATTTCAGCGGAAATTATTCCACCAACCCTGGTCATCGTCGTCACTGTTTAACGATGCCATTCATGATGTTTATCGGCAGGTGTGTGATTTTGCCAAAGGGGAGACTGCCTTGGCGTTTCAAAGGGACAGCGTCCTGCCTCCATCGTCATCCAACACCTACCAGCCTCGGCGACCGTCTGTTCGGCGTGCCAGAAACTCAGCGCCGTCTGCGTGGCAGGGGCGTGGTGCCAAGCCTAGATCAGACAGGGGTGGATATCAGCGTCGCCGTGCTCCGCCCAGAGGCGGCGGCGTGAGGGGCAAAGTGAAGTGAGGGACCGCATGCGACTGGACACTCCCACCTCCAGTCGTCCCAGTTTATCCTACACGGTAGGTGGGAGAATAGGGATCTTTTGGGAAAATTGGTCCATCCTAGAGGATCCATCGTCACCGATATATTGAGGCAGGGGTTTGGCTCCCCTCCTCTCCGATCCACCTCTGACAATGTTCCCGCTCCGCACAATCACTCTCAGGTTCAACACAACCTTCTAGCGGAGAACATAGCGATTTTGTTGGAGAAAAGAGCCATCGAACTCCTCCCGTATCCCATCATAACACCAGGGTTTTATTCTCCAATATTCTTAGTGCCGAAGAAAGGGTCCGCGAAAATGAGGATGATTCACAATCTGTCCTATTTCAGCGAGACTTTCCTGGAGCGTCCTCCGCACTTCGAATGGCGTCCCTCGAATACCTCAAATCTATGGTATCGTCAGCGACTTTCTCATCAGCCTGGACCTACAGGATGCATACCTCCATGTTCCAATAAGCCCCAGCGACAGGAAGTACCTGCGCTTTATTTTCAACAATCAACATTTCCAATGGGCTGTCCTCCCATTTGGAATTTCAACGGCCCGTGGTTGTTCACCGCGTATCACAACTCCTATTTCCCGGTATCTACATTTGAGGGGCATCAATTTCGACCCGTACCTGGACGATTGCCTTATGCACCTGTTAGACCGTCTACTTCTTATACAACAACGGGATTTCACCCTTCGTCTGTTGCGCCAACTAGGGTGGCTGGTCAACTTGGACAAATCGGAGCTTGTCCGACTCACACTCTGACGTTCATCGGAGGCCATTTCCAGACGGACAAGAACCTAGTTCAGATTCCCCTGGACAGGTGGGACAAGATTCAGTCTCTGATTCCACGTGCACTCTCCCAACCTCTGTCCCTCAGAGAGTGGCAGTCACTTCTGGGATTGTTGACGTCGGCGCAGGATCTTACCAGCAGAGGGCGTCTTCAACTTCGTCCTCTGCAGCGGTTTCTTCAACCATACATTCGTCGGGCAGACGTTCATCAACGGTTTTGCCTTCCACCTCAGTTACATCGCTATCTTCTTTGGTGGACTCGCCCATTGAACGTCTTAGGAGGAGTCTCTTTGACAGAGCAGCCTCCGGATTGCCAACTGTTCGTGGACGCCTCCTGCAGGGTTGGGGCTCCACTTACGACCAGACAGCCTCCGGCCTGTGGTCGGTCAACACATCAACTGGCATATAAACAGTCTGGAGTTGGAGGCCGTGATCCTCGCTATTCATCATTGGGCACATCGACTACGAGGAACTTGTCTTCTAGTGGCTACAGACAACACCACGGTCGTATGGTACATCACGAAGGCAAGAGTCGACACACTCACAGTTTCTCCTCGATCAGACATTTCGCTCTTTCAACTGGTCGACGATCTCCACATTCTGTTGAGAGTTCGGCATATTCGAGGGTGCCGCAATATACTAGCAGGCGGCTCTCGAGACCGACAGAGTTGCTCCCCGCGGAGTGGATGCTACACAAGGAGGCCTTCACTCTTTTAAGTCACGCACTGGGTTATCCAAACATAGATCTGTTTGCCACCAGCCAAAACCATCAACTGCCAGTGTATGTGTCCCCTGTCCCAGATCCAGCGGCTTGGGCGGTGGATGCTCTCAACCTATCATGGGAGGGACTTCACGGCGTATGCGTTCCATACCAGTTCTATTACCCAAAGTTCTCGCAAAAGTCAAGGGAGACAACTTGCTACGACTAATTTTGGTCGCCTTGGTGGCCAGCCAGGAACTGGTTTCCCGTTCTACAAAGTCTAGTGGTAGGAGATCCTTCCCTCTACCCGTGGAGGAACGTTCTAGTGCACCCTCACAGCCATCTTCCGCATCCGGCTCCAGACCGATTCAATCTGCACGCGCATGGACCATTTGCAGAAAGCACTGAGTGCTAAGGGTTTTCGGCTAGAGCAGCCAAAGCCATTCGCGGCGCACAGAACTTCTACTAGACATTTGTATGGCGACAAGTGGCAGTCGTTTGAGCGTTTTTGTGTTACCAAGAAGCAGGATCCGCTGACTGTGTCTCCTCAGTTCATAGCAGATTTCTTACTTTATCTCCGAACATCCAGGCGTCTGAAGGGAGGCACCATTGCCACGTATTTGGCGGCAATTAGCTCTGTTTTAGCGATTCCCACTGACAGAAGGATTTCCAAAATCCCAGAATTACAGGCCATGCTTAAGCTCATTCCGACTTGAAGACCAGAAGTTGAAGTTTAGATCCGCCCGGCATGGAATCTCAACACTGTTTTAGACCATCTCCGTGGTGCACCGTATGAACCTCTTGATAACGCTTCCCTCGCTGATTTATCCAGGAAGACGGCATTTCTGTTGTCATTAGCGACTGCGGCTAGAGTGAGTGAGGTTCACGCCCTTGGCGTGACTAGGATCAAGTTTGAACGCGTCGTCGTCATGGTTCTGTGCACTTAGGTATGTGTTGGGATTTCATCGCTAAAACCAACTACCAGGACAACCTGATCGCCAGTTTTCCATCCCGCCATTATCATCTATTGTTGGCTCTGAAGGCGATGCGGAATTACTGTTATGTCCGATTCGATGCGCTCAAAACTTACATTGATCGCACCAAAGGCGTTCGTGGTACAAGGAAGCGTTTATTTCTTCCACTGTCCCGGCGTCGCAGTCAGATGTCAGCAAAACACTATTGCCTTATGGTTAAGAACAACCATTCTTCAGGCATATAAAGCGGCTGGGCTGGACCCTCCTACGTCCTCTCATCCCCACGAGATTCGAGCACTTGCTTCCGACTATGGCACTTCACAGTAATTGCACTGTGTCATCCATTATGCAAGGTTGTTTTGGCGGTCGGACACAGTGTTTGCCAGTCATTACTTGCGTGACATGGCTGTCAAGGACGTTAATGATGTCCACAGCTTCGGACCATTGGTGGTTGCTCAGCAACTTCGCCATTCCCGAAGAAAGTGACCCTCCTGCCTTGTGTTTCCTTCCACGGACCACCATGTGGGGAATGAGTTGTTTTTCTTCACAAACAACTAGGTATGTCAGTTAAGGAGTTATCCTTGTTTTTCAAGTCCATGCTTTTGCTGCATTCCTTAAGCTTCACCAGCTTTAAAATTAGTGGGTTCTTTTCATTTAAGACGCAGTCTTATTTGCGAATTACCGCTACTTGATCGTCCCTTCGCTAATTCGCTCTCTGTTATAGGCGCGTTATCAACGCTTCCCGAAAGCACGGGATTACGGATTGAGCTGGCTGCTATTACGTGTTTGGCGATCCCTCAGATGACACGCCCACCTTCCAGCCTGTCGGATAAAGTGCAGGAAGTAAGTAGTGCAGGATTAGTTAAAAATTTAGTAAAATCTAAATATTTTTTATATTTGTATACTTATCCTGCACTACTTATGATAAGGGCCCACCCTGTGCTATCAGCTACCTCCCGCTTAGTTTTGCCATCTGTGGGATTTCTAAGCAATAATCTGAGGTGGCTGGCGTCACCTTCCGTGGCGCATGCGCGAAACAGTAAGCAGCCGAGACCAGGAAGTGATTGCAGTTCTACGTCTTTTTGACATCGTCTGGCAAGCCACGCTTTTCGAGCCGTAAGCAATAAGTGCAGGAAGTAAGTAGTGCAGGATAAGTATACAAATATAAAAAATATTTAGATTTTACTAATTTTGCAAAGTTCTTACTTCAACCTTTCCTTTGTTGCTAGGGAACGCATGCGTGGAATCCGAGGTAAGTCGGTGAAGAAAAGCCGGGACTGGATCATGGAGAAGAAAGAGAGACGGCGGAGGCAGGGGAGGTAAGTCTCACTCCACTTGGATAGGCTTTAACAGGGGAGGTAAGTCTCACTCCACATGGATATTCATTGACAGGGTGTAAGTGGTTGGGTGCAGTGGAGTGGTCATGGAAATTTTTGCGATGAAAGAGTAAGATCTATTCCGTTCATAATATGTTCCTCTAATGAAAATCTGCGGAAGTAATGACTACTTGGATGAAAATGGTTTTACTTCCCCTGCAGCTTTTCCTGGTTATGTTGTCGGCATAAGTCACCAGATTTACAATCAGGGGGATATTACAAATTTATTTGGTGGGTTTAACAACCAGATTATTGAAGAGTCTAATCTGATCCTGCCTCGTAACTGCTTGTGAGGTGGTTCTTCAAACACAACATGCAGGCTGAAATCTTGTTTTTCCTGACAACAGCACATTGGGTATGTCCACAAAATTAATATGGTTTAACAGTATCTTTATTCATATGTATATTTGTGTTTACGTAAATGCCGATGTATATCTGTACAACTAATCATTACTTGTATTGTTTCAGAGATGTACGTCCAGACACAAAGTACACAGGGCGACAGCGGAAACCCAAATTCTGACGAATGTTGTTTGTTGTAAATAAAGTATATATGTACAGTGGCTATCAAACAGTTATGTTGTTGTATTTGCTAATCATCCAGTTAGACAAGGTTCCCTGAAATTGACTATAGGTTATATACAGTGATTGTATTTCATGTTTTGGGTAATTCGGAGAGTGATACATTTTGTCAGATTTTTGTGTGTGTATCTCTTGGTGAGCTTGGGCATGAACTGACTTTAATGTTTGATTGTTTTAAAATACAGTTAAAGGCTCCAGTTCAGAGGGAGTTTTCAGTGAGTCACATGTAGTGTTCAATAATTGGTCAATAACAGTGTCACATTCAATATCTTCCAATAACTGCATCAAAATACTTATGGGTTATATTATTGGTAGGTGAGATCTGTGAGAAAGTATATGCACAGCTGATTGCTATTTCGGGCTTAGTTTAGTATACAAATACAGTATCTTTACATATAGGCCAATTGTAATATATTTATATAATGGTTAAACAATAGCAATAAATTCATGGCATTTTATCAAACCTGAGGCAGTTTGCAACTTTAGATCCCCAACAACCTCTATTTTGTGGTTGAGATGACTTGGTAGATTGCATATCATCCACTCCCTGTAGTGTGGATTGATGCTCACAATATCAGTCACTGGTTTGCTCCGTCCAAACTGAAAATATTGTTTACAGGCCACTGTCATTCTACTGAGACTGGCATAAAACACCAAACTATTCCAGTTATAACATAGCAAGATAATTTGGAAGGAAAGCCTGACATGAATTTCCACAAGCACCGGTAGAGTGCTGATGAACGAAGGACCAGGATTTGAACCCAGCGGGGTACAACTCCAAAACCCAAAGTGATACAAATTCAAAATGCTTGCCACTTTGGTGAATCTCATAAGCATAGTGCTGGCAATTGCTGTTTTTGTTTTGTTTTGTTTTGGCTTTTTTTTCTTTTTTTTTTTTTTTGGGGAGCTGGGTTTGGGTTTGTTTTGGTTTTTTTAAATCAGAGGAAAAGAGGAAACAGGGATTTGAACCCACAATCATAGGTTCAACTATGCATCAGAGTGTGCCCTTGCGTGAAAAGTTGGTTGTTTAACACCACATTCAGCAATATGGCTGTGGTCTGTAAATAATCAAGTCGGGACCAAACAATCCAGTGATCAACAGCATGAGCATTAATCTACGCAAATGGGATACGATGACGTGTGAATCAAGTCAGCGAGCCTGACCACCCGATCTATGACTAGCATGGGTTACTGAAGACCACTCCTAACCCAGATCTTCACAGGTCTGCATGAAAAGAAGTACTGTTGATCAAATAACAGTTGGAACTGGTGTTAGGATGCAGCACAACATGATGAAATACTTCTGACACAATAAAGAACTGCAGCACAACAGAGACACACATTATGAGGGAAGTAAAGTTTAATTTCTCAATATTTGTTGTCGTTACAAAAACCCTACCAACTCTAATTAGATTAGGAAACTGGTGGTGTCACTACATCTATCACGACGATACACAAAGGTCACTACTGTGACCGTCCACAACTACGTGTAGTTGTGTTGCTACTGATGACCACCCTTGCTCGCTGGCTGGCGATCTCAACTACTACATTACACTGCTGCTGCTAAGGGACACAAATTGGATTAAATTAAAACTCCAATACATGTTATATGGCATATTGAGGCCCTCACAAACAACTGCTGTGAGAATGTGGAAACTTACAAATATTTACGAAAAAGGATTTTTTTGTCAATGAATGTCGTTATTCATACATTGGAATGCATATCACCTAAAACAGAGAAAAATGAACGATGCATGAAAATGAAACCTTAGCTATCGCGATGGTATATTTGGCTGTCATACTAAAGCGACACTTAGAAAAGACACTATGTTGTCTATAAAAGAAACGGTTATGACATAGAGGATGAAAATATCAAAAGTGTAACCGTTAAAACACGAGAATTTAGTGACACATTGAATAAAGAAATAGACATTCCAAATGAAGTGATACTTTCATCACTACAAAATATCATTCATCTACCATGGTTCAAAAATATTTTAAAAATTCTGAAAGAAACCTATATTTATCCAATATGGCAGCTGTTCGGGACAAATGTTATCAGACAACATTTCTGAGTTCCTAAAATATGAAATTTGAATGCACTGTTTTTCTTTTTAAAAGACATCAAACAAACAGATAGCATGGACAGTCCCATACATCCAATAAAAACATTTATGAGATAAAATAAAACGTTGAGCAAAATCTGGACACAGGTAAAACTAGTTTCAGGAAAATACTTTTTGTCCAACAGATGTTGAGGTCCAGCAAGAAGTACTTGTAAAGCCTTGCTTTATCTCAGCAAGATTCAATTGCAAGGTGAACATAGCAATTCTGAAGTTAAACATTGATACAGTGCAAGTTTGAAACTGATATGCCACGCCAGCTTAAACCAATGCCATACATCTTCACATCAGCGGCAGTTGAAAGCTTGTATCTACAAAGCGTAGAGTGCAACTGCTTGTGACCACACAGTGTAAACCTTAAAATCATAGAATATCAATAACTGATTAAATCAAATGAACAAATAGGTACCCATGTTAAACATTTCACTGAGCTGAATTATTGACACTAGAAAGTCCTGTACGTAATGTGTTTAAATGGACTCCGTGACTGTGACAAGCTCTTTCAATGTCGTCTAGTCGACGTTCCCTTCCAAACATTTAAAATACATGTAGTGACGTTGTTCGGGTCTTTCTTTGCATCAATCTATTACTTCATTTCTTATGTGCTTGTGGAAAAATTAAATATGATAAAGACATTTTGTGGTGTTAAAATAACCACATTTATATTACTTTTCACCAGTCAGTCAATGAGTGAGTGAGTTGAGTTTAACGCCACTTTGGATGTTATTCCAGTTCAATCATGGCGTGTCAGCTTATTGTGAGAAGAAAGCCTGAAGCGATTCGGGTTTCACATGTTTACCGCTTTGGTGAAACCCACATGCAAGGCTATGGTGCTGACAAACCGACATAATTTTGGCAAATCTGGTTTTGAACCCATAATCAATGGTTTCTGGCATACCCAAGGGAGACAACTCCACAAGAATGTTGATGCAGGCCTCAGATTGTGAAACACATGCACAGCTACAGTGCTGACATACTTAGAAAACTAATTGGGGTAAACTTGGATTTGAACCACCAATCATAGGTTCCTGGTGTGTTCAAGGGATGCAACTCTGATGATATTAGCTGAATATGTTGTGAAATCTTCACAAAAAACAGAAACATATGTTGACAACATTTACATCTGAAATTATGTGTAGAATGGTATAGATATGGATCAGTGAGTTAGTTTGTAAACAATGATTAATCCCTTTCAATTATCTGATAACTTTTCTTTAAAGGGGTCGAAATTAGATTTTCGATATGGCTACCAAGGCAGCCATTACGAGACAACACCTAAATTTCTGAGGTTTCTGAAAAGACGAAGACCAGATATACAAAAGGGCAGCTGACCATTTGAACACTTGACCTGGCACCATCTTCAACATGATCATGTATTACATGAGAACCTTTCCCATAGGGTGACCATTATTCATGATATTGCATAGGAGCCTAATATACCTCATTTGTCCCGTGGAGATAACATGAAATATCACTATGGTTACCATACAAATGAATACTGTTTGCCTCACAACTGAACTTATCACAGTGACAAGCAGTATTAAACATATTTCCTTCACACTTGCATATTGTCAAACAAAATAATTTAGAATGGAATTTTTTTTAAAGAATTAAAACAAAAGCCATAATGAGAATGTTAAAATCACTGATAGATAGTTGGGGGTCTGACGGACGATGTGTATTTATGAGTTACTTGTCATGGAATCACAAAAATTACCCTTGACGTAACAAAAAAGGGGAATTCTGTGGATCTGCAGAAAATTCTCATCTCTACCACAAAAAGGAAAGTATTTCATAGTTTTCATCTGTTGTAATTTCCCCAATAATACTCCTGATACAAATAAGACTTACAACACAGCCATGATTTGTAGTTTCGTTCCAGCAAAATCTATACTGATAGTTACGGCAAATATCTAATAAATCTATGCCACACCTATCTGTCTAACTGAAATATGTCAAGATGTTAACATGTAAAGTTACATATCAAACAATGAAAGAATATGGCACAAAAACATTTATCAAATGAAAAGGTGAAACATGTTATTGTGATGAGGCAATGAAACAAATCAAATCGGGAAATGTAGTGATGCAGCTACAGATGAGTCCGAACATCTTCCACGGTGATGACACATGCATCTCAAGAATTATTTCTATGTGATATAATATTTATCACACTCATTAACATGTCATGCAGAAAAGCTAATCTACAATCTCCTTACAATTCAGATCTTTTACTTCCATACAATACCACTTTTTAAACCCTGATGACTCCTCTAAAAAATCGGAAAATTTGGTGAGTAATATAAACTATACACAACACAAATATTCCTTCTTTGGTATTCGTTCAAGTGAGGATGTTATGGCTCTCAGAAACAACAGGATGTGTAATATGTATAATATTTATATATGTATAATATGGCCATATTCATTGATATTCCGAACAGGTCAGTTTAGTTCGTTCTATGGGATGAAAACAGAACTCAAATGTCAGAATGCTTTGCACACTCATTCCAGAAATTTAGAAGTCTCAACACTGGCTGGCCCTACGTGATCGAAAACTGAGATGACATCAGAGCTACCGGCTGAGGTGTCGTATCGGAGTAAAAGATACAAGTTTTATGAGATTGTCTAATCTACAGAATATATTTTCTGACAGAGAAGGTGTCATTATTTCCTTGACAGTAATACTTGTTTGACTGTACTAGTAATAGTAAACTTCAATGTAGAATAATTATATTATTCATTTACAAACATGTACAAGATGTTATCTTCGTCAATATTTCACATGTTTCAAACTACGTTTCTCCATCACCTGTGACTACATACAACCACTGTCCAGTGTCGTTGCTCTTTTTAACCAATAAATTCAACAACATGAAAACCAGGAATCCTCAGACTAATAAGCCTTCAGAATACACAAACAACAATATACAGAAAACCATGCGCCCATCACCTACAGGTTGCTTAGATATCAGCAACCATAGGATTCAGACAGAGCTTGTACTCAGTTTATGGTCGTGCGAACGTGATTATCCTCATTTCATTACCTGACCATAAACAGAAACATAAAACCATAAACTGGTCTCCCGCCTCCGTTGTGCACACAACACAAAGCCAGCTAGTTGAGATAAAGCATGAGACAGGGTACCAGTCTAAATGTGATTCCACAATAATTGGTTGTATATATTCACTGGTGATTGGACAACGTGTTGTAGACAAACCTGTGAGATATTGGTGATGAAGATGTAGTGTGTTGTAACCTCGATGGTCCCATCTGTATAGCAGGGGAAATCCACAGAGCAGGCACACCAGACACGTACACAGATATACAGTATTCCACTCCACACCTCCAGGCCTTACATTTACCACTTCGAGTGCTGCCATACCCAACGTTTTACACACAGTAGACCCACACTAAGTTTATCCACTCCTGTTATATATATCATATTCAACCTTAACACTTCTTGATTATCATGTGTATTATATCTCCAATCTATCAAGTCAAATGCCCTGAACCCAACTGCACCATAACTCTATCAAGCCAAGTCTATCAGATCTCTGATATAGCTCAGGAGGTCTCTCATCCCAAGAGCAACTTAACTGTTCTGCTTAACGGTAACTTATCACAACACTAATCTATTTGGGCTCAAAACAAACCTGTAGTCATGAAAGATCCAGTGTGTTTATCATAAGAAAATGGAGAAATACGACCCTGGATTAACAAGCCTGTATTTTTACCTTCTTCTCTCCAATACAAAGTGTTCATCATGATAAATGTAAGGTCTGAATGCTTGAGACAGTTTGTCAAGTTAGAGTCATCCTGTTGTTCACATAGACATCGTCCAGGTCAAAAATTAATTCAAGTTTTCAGATTGATACTGTAACAGTGATATATCTTGGCATAGGGCAAAACAATGCAACATGCATATATGACACTTTGCTGGTACAGTGATATACCTTGGTTAAACAGGACAGTCAATGATATACTGCGGTACAGCAAGACAGTTTGCTGTAGCCAGATCAAACCTCTGTACAAGACTGTATCCTGTAAACATGATATATCCTGGTATGAAACATTAGGCTATAGAAGTGATGTATATTGGTACTAGAAAGGATGCCATAAGAGTGATATATCCTTGAACAAGCCAGTATGCTATAATATTGATATATCCTGGCACAAGAAGCCATAATGCTATAAAATTACATATCCAGGCACAGGACAGAATGCTACAACTAAGAAATATCTGCTACAAGACAGTATGCTATCATTATGATATAGGGTGCATTGCAAACAACCAATCGCTTGCAAGCGATGTACAGCGATTCACCTGACAACAGAGTGCTAACTTTCAGCTGCTTCCAATCGCACCAATCGCTGGATGAAGTTGCTTCGATCTCAAACCAAAATGGCGTCTTAAGGACATTTGAAGTCGACGACTGAACAAGAATTGTTTGACTTGATCAGCAGGGAAATGGCAAAGACTGCTTACATCTCAGCATCCTCAGTTTGTTCCACATCTTCAATGTAGTCATCAACAATAATAAATTCATCACTCATCATCGAGATTCTTCTAACGTTCTTCATTAGGATGAGATGAGCAAACGGTGATTGCTCCGCCATTTGGAGTGAGAAACGCTTCGAGCTGTTGCAAACCCGGGTTAAGTGATTCATTTGCTTACTCTAAGATTCCCGCCTTGCAACACACCCACATTCTTTACCAACAGGACAGTATGTCATAACACTGATATATCGTGGTACAAGAAAGTATGTCATAAAAATGATCTATGACGGAAACACTGTTACAGGCAGGATGACTATAACTCACCAAGTATTTCAGATGTCAGTGGATAACAATAATATGAATAACAATGATGATAATAATAATAATACAAGCTGTCTAGGTACGGTGAATGATCTACCTGGAATGCATAGTAACCGGTGATAAACAATGCAGAACAATCGTCAGTCTGACACACTGCGTGGACCCTGGAGCAGATGCTGTTCAGACGACACAATACTTGTCACAATCAGCCTTCTCACCTCTATAATGAATCATGGCAGGTGTATATAATCAGGGCTTCACAGATAACAATTAACGCTAGGCTGAAACGCGGAGGACATACCACTAGCTATCATTTTCCTGTTGTCAACTCTTTTTCTCTTAAGATCCCTAAAATATTGCCTGTTTCTGACACTTTCCCAAAATGACCACACCAGCTTGTCTCACATTAAATGAGATCGTTTACTGTGACCCTGTATCTCTCAATGTGGATATCTGAGGAAACGCTCTAATGGACAGTGGGCAAAACTGACAACTAAATCTCAATGAAGAAAGTGTGGGTTCTTCAGCCAATCAAATGTAAGCTTTGTAAAATAATTTGTCGTTATTTCTGTCATTTACCCACTTGATCCAGATTTTTCAATCATGGCAAAAGAAAATTGTCATTGAACACAAATATTCCATTAATGGTACTCCCTTTAGGGAATATGAGCCATGAAACGACTGGATGTATAAAACACCCAAAACATTACAGTAAAATGGAACTTATATATCTACATTTAGAACTTGTTATTTAAGTTTGTTTTTGTTCAGAGAAATGTGTATTTGTTGCTTTCTATTTTCAAGCTTGTGCCATTGACAGACTATGCAATTAACAGAGATCTGTCTCGATAGTACATGGTATACCAGCAGATCATCAGGCAGCTTGATTATGGAGGAAATTCTAATGACAGAGGCTTAAGACTATTACGTTTGTGAAACCCACGAGCACAGGAATAGTTCTGACAAACCAATGGTCACAGGTTCCTGGCATATCCATGGGAGGCAACTCTGGACAGAATACTGCAAAACCCCAGACAATGGGCCACCCTTGCCATTATTTTTAAATAAAAGGGACCGCTCATAATCTATTTGGGGTGGGGGGGTGTTTGTTTTTGTTGGGTTTGATGATGATGATGATTTTAAGAGGGGTCACCCATTTTGTTCAAGGGCATCAATTTTGTACACATGTTTCTAAGGGTGGTCAGCAATTTTGTACATAAAAATATCAAAAATTATGCTTAAAAAATATTGGAAGGAGGAGGGGGGTCATTGATTTTGTACATGACATGCAGGGGGTCACTTACTTTGTACACAAATTTTAGGGGGTCATTAACATTGTACATGCTTCTCCATAATAATCCACATCAACCCCCCTGGCCATAAATTATGAACGGCCCCTTTAAAGCCACAAGATCGCTGGTAGAGAATGAAGAGGGAAAGTGTAGAGGAGTTTTCATTACCTAAGAGATCGTTACTCAGAGCTGATGAACTACTCTAACCAAACCAATGTTCATTTCTATCCCCAGGATTAACTGTTGTTACCATTTGTGGTAGATTTTCCATATAGCATCACAATATGAACCGAGGAGAAATATCTATTCATGTGGCTTTTCAATCAAAACAGCAGTTGTAACCCAAGTAGTAAATAATATGTCAAGTCAACGTGATAAGATCAGGTCGCTCAATACAGAAAGTACTGAGACTACCGAGAAAAACAATTAACTCACCAACCTGTAAATGTTCTGTAATTGTCCCAAACCTGATTTTCTTTAGAGCAGTTCAAAGCTGCTTTCTTACCACTGGTTCTCATATGCTCTCAATAAGTGCAATGTCTACTTTTAGAAAATACTAGCAATATTAGAAAAGACTGTGGAACATGTTTTTACAACAAAATGCTTACAATGTGTTGTGTCAGCTTGTGTTATAATGTGATACCCTAGAAGGAAATGTACTTGAAAATATATACTCATATTCACCAATTGAAAGCTGAAGGAAAATGCAACATTTATCAAATCTTCAAAACTAAATGATAACCCACGGTCAGGTATGTTTTTTCCAAAAAAGATTCCAATGATTAAAACTGCAATATGAAAAGGCTTAACGGTTCTATCTGTGGCTGATGTGTGAACCTACTACATGTGGTCACATGACCTCTACAGGCGCCCTCTAAACCATCTGCAGGTGCACAACATGCCATATGGAAATGAGCAGAGGTCAAAGGTCATAACAAAGTCTGAACATGTTAGTCATACATCAACGGGTCGGCAAGGGAATCACAGAAACAACCATGCATGAGGGTCCTAATGAGCTGTACTTGTTTTATGTGAAAACATAAGATGAGTCAAACTCTCATAAAAGACCAATATAATGTCCATAAAAAGTGCACAGCGAAATTACAACTTAACTATTTTTGTAATTGTGCCAGAATATCAAAAAGTCATATATAACGAAATCAATGAACTTGACAACGTGTCCGCTTCTAGCATGAGTTCTTTTCTAAGCTTAAGAAATACTGTCTACTCACTAAAGGCCCCAATATTACTGATGACTGACTTGTGACCTCCCCCATCAGGACCCTCATGCATATCGTCCCATGGAATGCAAACTGACCAGATGTGTCTATTCCTCCATCAGTCTGTCCATCCCTCGCGACAGTCACCATGCATGCACAGAAGCAACGAGTCCTACATATTATATACATCATCTATATCAGTTAAGGCCACAAAAAAATTAAATACTGCTCATCAGATTTTCTGTCAGGCAGTTTTGTTCCCAACATATTTCATTATAAAGAGTTCAACCAATTCAAATTTCTTGTTGAATATTATTATGCACCTCCATGTCCATGAACTGAGTTCAGGATTCATTGGTCAAGGTTGAACTTATATAGATATATTTTTAAACAGTCATTCCACACAAAAAAATGTGATTACCTTGACATGCCTCCTGTCAATTCTCAAACCAATCACCCTAAATAACAACTGATTTGTCACCAAGGCAATTTGGAAAAGCGATTTGGACTTAATAAGTGATTATTTTGCTGTGGCCTTAGAGTGTGAAATCCTGTTAGCTAAATAACTGACTCCGCCTGTGCATTGTGAAACAAAACAGTGACCAGAACAGCTTAGAGTTTGGTCAACTAGCCAAGATGCTGCTGTCTCTATCCTACTCTGCTGGGCTGGTAGGCATCAGCTCATGTCATGTGATTATAAAAGTCAATTCCCATTGGTTGAGCCAAGCCTCTGGTGTTGATTGGATGCCTGTACTTGCAGCAGTACTGTGATTGGCCAATCAGCATCAGCCTCACCCACCTAACACTCCGCCTAATGTGGAAGCTAGGACTACCGCCAACACTATCAGACAGATAGCTTATCATGATTTTCTTCTGCAACACAGAAACAAGAAACAGTTTACTACAGGTCATAAAAACACCATGTATTATCACGAATAGTTTAATGCAACTTTTAGCTATATTTCAGCAAAATCATGGCAGGGGACGAAAGAGACAAACCTCACATATTGTAACGATGTGATGAGTCGTACCAAAAGCCTTTGGCATAACATGGGAACAATTTATCCAGAACACTCCTCCACAAGCCTATAAAGGATTGGGAGAGATGAGCATCACTACAGCAGAGCCATAAACATACAGCTCTACAGGACACCCATAGGGAATTGGCTTATGCTAAAAAAATAGCAAATTAGAGAAGTTATTCTACTGGATTTTGCCAATCATCTTAAAACTTGGTTATCATCTATTGCTAGTAAGAAAAAAGCATGGCTTGGGTCCTCATAAATACGACATATCTAAAACAACACTTGTAATGATGATTCAGCATTAAAAAAAACTCTTTCTAATCAACATATGTCTGATTCATTTAGTTTTTTGGTCAAAGCTATCTTTACTCTCAGCAGTATAAAAACAGCTCGGTCATTTTGATTCTATTTATTTTATTCTGTTTTCTACATTTGACAGACTTGGGCATACAAAATGAATGTTATAACCACTGTATAGGGGATGGAAAATTAAAAATTGCTGTCAATTTAAGACACAATATTCATCATGAATTAATATAAAAACTAACGGAGATAATCATAATCCCGCTGTCATCCTGAGGCTTCAATACACACTTCATACACACATGTACGCACACATGCACGCACACAAACACAAAGAAGAATACATTTAAATTGATCAAAACATTGTCAAAAATATTCAAACCCATCCCAATAAAAGCGTTGAATACTTATCCAAGTATGTCCATCAAAGTACTTCCGGCGACACCTTGTGTTCGTCCCAAACCACCCGGGTTGTACCCTTCACATCTCCGACAACTCAACTCTTCACCTCAAGCTGCTTAAAGAATCTTAATCATGGACAATACTATGGACAATACTATGGACAAGATGGTCATTATAACCCTAGCCACCATCACCAATAATCACCCCAGAGAATCTAATGTTGACCTCTGATCATAGATTTCTGCACCCAGTTCAAGACATATTGTAACACTTCTTGTTCTTTTCTTGATCATTTCTTCAAAATATTATCCACTTGAATTCAGGACAAGGCTTCAACGCATCATTTAAGAAGGTCTAGCCTTATGTTCCTGGCAGAATTCTCATCGTGGGAGGACTTCAAGATGGTTTGATTCACTCAACCTCCATAACCTAAAACCATTCTATAAACACTCTGGAACGTTTCACCAACATATCCTTCTTTATAATTCAGTAGCTTATGACAAAGAAAACACTAAATTTATCACTCATAATAGCTATGATATCATGTTATCTAACTGTGCTCAATCAATGCCATTAGGACCAATGGTTCCAAGGTATTTATGTGATACAAGGTGATTTATCTGTTGGTTGTTGGAATATTTTGTTCATACAATGTCAGTGGTTTAAGAAAAATAAAAAAATGTCTTCAACTGAATATTTCATTGTTAAAGGACTATTTTAATGAAAACATCAATTTTCTTTCCACATGTCCTGAACTTACGCCCCTCGACTTCACTCATGAACT